ACGCTTTGTACAGTAATTAACTGAAGATGACAGAAGTTTCTGTCGAAACACGTTTCACAAACTCAAAAGTTTTGTCGCTTTCTTTAAATATGATAATAAGCTTAATAATAGCAAGATGAAGCATTTTCAATAAATACAGTCTGTAACTGTAGATCTCGATTCGACAAATTTGTTTATTTTAATCGCCCTCGTACACATGGTGTTCGTGATCGTGAGCCCAGCAGAATACCAAAGAAAAGAATTATACGTATTTTGAAGAAATCCAGGAAAGTAAGTACATCAGAAAAAGCAAACAGAAGTCTTCCTGAATGCATCTTTTTACAAGTAAAGCTCGTAAAAAAATTTATGCACATGGAATCAGATGTGAGAATAAAGGAACAATGAAATATCCCTCTTCTGCAGTCAGGAGAAAATATCCAAAGTCTAAAGAACAAAGGATACTGAAAATATAAAACCAATATCCACATGTAATAAAAAGTCCAAAGCCAAAGCAGTCGAATGCATGGAGGTCTAAATCAGTACCAAATGTTTATAAAAATCTGAATCACAGGGTAGATCATTTTAAGTCCAATCTATCTGGAGATATAGAAACAAACCCTGGTCTTGTTATTAATTCTACTAAAACAATTCAAGCTCCTTACAGTCAAGACAACGTGGCAATGTTTGGATTAAATGCTGGTACATAGTTTGTAGCTATGTCACTTGTTTCCCTCATATATAACAAGAGGAATGGTGTTGTATCCTCAGTGGACTTGGTTAATATCATGAACACTGGAAATGAATTGTATTCTGGTCTATCTAGTCTATCCAGGCAATCCTATTCATTGTTAACAGAAGTACCTGAAATGATGATAGTGTTCAATATTAATTATCAGCTTCAATATAGTCCAAGCTATACTGGTACTATACATGGTACTTGTGAAGTACAAGATTTCAATTATTGTGTCACATTTGCTAATGCTATGCAGGCTTTGCCAGAACAAAATTATAATTCCTTTCTTTTAACAATCCTCAGTGCTACAGTAGGTTTTTACTGTAATGGTGAAGGTAAGTTTAAGATATTTGATTCTCATGGTAGAGATTTATATGGTATGCCCCATCCTCAAGGAACTTGTGTAGTGTTCAAGTAGAAGTTAACACCTTAAATGAGCTGATAAACTATTTCAAGGTCTTTATCAGGATCCAAATGTTTTATTTGAACTCAAAGGTGTACATATTAATGAAAGACAATGTGATATGACAGATATTTCTGATCAACAGTTGTCAGCTGTCCCCCTTAAAGCAAATCATGCAGATGCAGAAATTATAACCATTCATATTCCCTTGTTATGCTGTTGTGCCACATCTTTTTATAGCATTTGTTTTTCCATCATCAAATATTGTGGGTATTGGAATTCACAGACTCTATAGGTAGAATCACTGACCATGCAAACAAGTTTTACACAGAAAAACTCAATGGCGATAGTCATCCACTGACTATAAACAATTTCTCAAGGACACTTCAATTATATGATGCAGATATTCATATTGCCTTAAATTTGGAGAAAAAAGGAATACTATACTGTACATCTCTCGGTAGCAAATTTTTGCTTCAGAAGCTAATCACAGATAATACTAAGGATAATACTGGGTTTTTAATGTGGATTTCAAACTATTGCTTCAGCTGTATTTTTCAGCACAATAATATAAGAAAAAGCAAATGTGTTAAGTACTATCATAAGATTCAGTCCTAATGGCACACTTGATAAATTTGAAAAAATGAATGACATAGATTTTCTTATTCAGTCATTAGTGGATATTGTAAAAAAACAATTCCAGAGTAAAGATGTAGAATATTGTAACAAATTTCTATGTTGTTCAAATAATTTGTCAAACGCTGGAAGACAAAGAGTAATGGCAAGACATAAGTCTCATAGTCAGAAAGAACTATATGCAAAAAGGAAAAAAGAAAACTATGCACAAATGGAAACTGCCATGAAAAAAAAAGTTTTGTCTGATAAAGCAATATGGTACGAGTCACTGGATCTTGCAGAAAAAGAAAAGCCCTTATCTCACAGAGCTGAATGAAATAAATCACTGAATCCCAAAGGAAAAGAAAAGCTTTTGTCCAAATCAGCAGATTGGTATAAATCACTTGTACATGGATCACAGACGCGGCGATTCCACTCCGCATTTCCGCCATCAAAGGAAATGATCACGTAATCATCGTCTACTTCTTCAACAGTGCACGCACACCAAACTCCTTCTTCATCGACTGCTTCAGCTTTGAAGCCAACAGTTTGTGGAAGTGCCATCACGTTTTTGGTCAACCGTGCGCTTAGCTCCTACGATCAAAACAGGTTTGCGATCGATAAAGTTGATGAATCTGCAATCGGTCGCTAGGATACTAAGTGTTGTCCAGTGTCCTTCAGTAATTCTAGCGCCTTATTGCGCATGTGTTGATTAAAACCGGAATTTTTAAGAAATTATACACTTTGTCCGTGTTGAAATCGGGTGTCGAACACTCTTTCCTAAAATGTGGTCGCTTGTGCTTGGTTTGGCCTTGATCTTTTCCTTTTCTTGTGTCCACTCAAAGCAATGCCTATACTATAGTGATTGCTCTGGGGATGAAGAATGCTGCATGGTTTCCAACACTTGTACTCCCCGTGATAAGTGTGTCATTTGCTATTATGACGCTGAATGTTCCACAGGGAAGAAGTGCTTGAAGCAATCGGGTCTTTATGCTGGTCTTTGCGTGGATGCAGTGGACATGACTACCGAATCACTGTCCTTCACTGTGCCTGCTCCTGATACAGAAACGATTCAGCCGCAGGTAACAGATGATGTATCATGTACTTATGACACTGATTGCTCAGATGGCGAAGACTGCGACGACGGAAGTTGCATCTCTTCGGTACCCGACGACAGCTCAAGCGACAGCGACGGTTTGGACATTGGGTACATTTTCTTGATAATTATACTTGTTTTTGTGAAGATTTTGCTTTGGGCGGCCTGTCTGAGAATGAGATACAAAAGACGAGTGTATCAGCGAATGGCCATCGTTGCACCAACAAGGCAGACAACAACCACTGTAAACACAACAACAGCAGCAATTATTAATCACCCATATGTTTCATTGCCACCTTGTGCTGCACTACAACCAGGATATGCCTATTCGTATCCTGATGTAATCGGAGGAGCAGAAGCTTCTCCTTTACCGCCCGGCGCGCCACCACCTTACAGTTCCCTGGGATTAGAGGGAAAAGGAAATATTGAGTCTAAAGAGGAGGTGCGGCAAGAAATTGCCGTTTCTAATTTCGTCGAAGGAGTCGCTTCTCCCATGCAATTTGCACCTACACCGGAGTACAATTTTCATATGGTTTTTGGACGACAAGGAAATGAAAACAATACAGCGTTTGAGCAACCGAGAGCAAGTCGCGACAAGGAGCAGTAAGTCGCGCCGGATTTATCACAGTTGAATAACTCGCTTATAATATTCTTATGTAGACCGTTAATTTGTGATGCAGCCTTTCCTTTATTTCTGTCACGGATTGTAGAGTAGTAGAAGGACATTCCCGTTAATGTTACTGACTTATAGTTACCTTAGAAACCTATCGATATTGTTGAAGAACGGTGCATCAGAAGACTGGAATCTATCATTTATGTTATCACTCGGATATGCGTATACGTTTCAGCGTTCTGGTGATCTTTGTTAAGGAATGCTTATTGGGTCGTGTTTGGTCTTACTTTCTCACATATACCTACTATCGAAACTCATAGCTACCTTGGAAAACCTGCTATTTGCTTACAGCATTACAAATTGCGAGACCCGTGGGTGACCACAATCGCCATACACATATAAGTGATTTCTGTATGTCGGGTGGGTTCAGAAAAATGCTATGGTCATATGGTCATATCACATCGCAGCTATAGTTTCCGCATATACATGCTGCAAACAACTCTAGGCGTCTTTTTCGTTGAGAATTATGCATGGTCCTCTTCGATCGGTTTCGAAACAATGGTCGCGTTAGAAATTAGAAAATTCGTTTTTGAGTTTCCGATTTGAAATTCTTGAATCACTTTCGTTCGCGTGCTCAATACAATAGCGATTCAAGAGCAGAATATTTTAGTAAGTTATACGTCGAGACTCAAGAGAGAGGTATGCAATCGCAAGAAATTTCCCGCGTTGCCATTGTTTAGTGACTGGAAGACAAATAATGAACCCGGTCGTTAATGACCACGAGGTAAATAGTTTTTTAAAAATAAGATCTTAACCATCATCGAGGCCAATAGTAAAATAGATAAGATTATTGACTATACTCAATATAACTGCTTAACATTGATCTAGCCTAATAATGGATATTACAAGGAGAGTCATTCACTCCTCGAAGTTACGAGGTTAAGGGATTTTCTAAGTGACTTGGTGCTGTTTCA